CTGTGGAATCCTTGGTGATTTCTGAGGTTGATGTTAAGTTGCAGGTATTTCACTACTCAACTAGTTAATTTATATACAGTAGCTTGTCTTCCAGTGTTGGTTGCGGTGTGGTTTTTATCTTGAGAATTTCTTGATTAGAGTATGGTTTTCAGATTGATGGTTTTTCCAGGTGTTAAATCTTGATTATTTGGCTTTTGATATTTGGAGATGAGGTGTTTTGTTTGTTCTTAGCTTTTGATTGGGTTTTTTTTCCCAATGGTGTGTAAATGTGATTTATCTCAATGTGTCTATTGATGGCTGACTTGTCTGATTGCCAAGCTTCCAGAATTTCCCTAATGTTTTTGAATTTAGTGACACAGTGTCTCAGTAGCTAAGACACTGAGCTTGTTGATCAGAAAGGTTGACAGTTCAGCAGTTTGAATCCCTAGCACCATGTAATGGAGTGAGTTCCTGTTACTTGTCCCAGCTTCTGCCAACCCAGCAATTCTAAAGCATGTACAAATGCATGTAGAAAAATGGGAACCACCTTTGGTGGGAAGGTAACAGTGTTCTGTACACCTTCGGCTTTTAGTCATGCTAGCCACATGACCACCGAGATATTTTTTGGACTGGCTCTTCAGCTTTGAAACAAAGATGAGCACCACCCCCTAGTTGTCTGGAACAACTAGCATATATGTACTAGGGGAACCTTTACCTTCAGTCATAAAGGTGCTCACAGTTTTCCACTTGAAACACTCTGACCATATGTTGTGAAATTAAGGAATTTTTAACATGTTTTCTGATAACTAGTAGGTGCTCATGAAGATGAACTTCTAGTCTTATGCTTGCTTGTAACACAGTGGTTGTTATAGTCCATAGTCCCACAAGTTTGGATTGTCACAAGTTATACACTTTTCCCATTTCTATTGGGAGTAAGAGATGGTTTTTCCCTGTATCTTTTCACCATCAATCCTATATATTCTTTAATAACAATCTCTTGCCAGACAATCTTTTAACCATAGCATGTAAAACAGTTTGCAAGTAAAAATGCATAATTGTATTCATAAGCAATAAGTTAAGGAAAAAGAGAGTTCTTTGCTGCTTGGTAATGATAGCAAGAATTAACCATTTAATCTCTTTTCTGAAACTAATTGTTAGGTCCATGAAAGTCTGATTTCATTTATGCATTTCAGCTTGACCCAGGGGATACAGACTTCAAAAGGTAACTTGTGTATTATGTTAAGAGAAGTTAAGAAAACAGATAAAATCTGGTATTTGTATATTACATCTCTTATATCTGTTGGTTACTGAAATGAAAATATATATATATAAATATAGTGATTGTGGAAATAACAATGATGTTATTTCATGGTATTAAAGACATCTGTGACTTTTGACACCCTCAAGTAGTAGAATCTGCCTATCCAAAGTCTTTTGGAAAGACTCAATCTATCTATCTATATTTAAATGGCTATGATGTATCTGTATGTTCCAGCATCTGGAACACCTCGAGCAATTTCAACCAAACTTGGTACACAGATTATTTACTCTCTGGAAACAAATACTGTAATGGTAAAACACCCCTAACACCCCTAGGGGTGTGTATTCTGTTAAGATACAGCCTATTATGCCTTAAAATGGCTTCTACTGTACAGTACTGTAGAGTTGCTATGGTAACAGCTTCACAGTACTCTACAAGGGAGCTCCTTCTGATAAGGGAAAATCCAACATTAGAAATTGTGGCAATGTTCATGGAAGGAGGGTTGGGATAAATAAATACCCAGGCAGTGCCAGGTGATCAGTTAGTAGATAGATAAAGAAGCCAAATCCATTCTAAATATCTGTCTTACTGTGTGACGAAGTATAATAGTATGTTGAAAGTTTATGGCATAAACTGACGATACCAAATGTATTGAATAGCATAAAATTTGCACATTGACAAAATTTCCATCTATCTACAAATTACTGTATTGCTAAGATCTACATATATACTACATATATACTACAATAACTTACAACATCCTAGCTTCTTAGGAAGGACTTAATACCAGCTAAAGGACTGGCAGCTGTGATTTCACATTGTTGTATAATAATAATTTTCACATCTGTACTATCTTTGGATCTTAACAATTAATTTAGTTGATTTAATTGATTTTATAATATATGTAAATTGTTGGTTTTATTGTATGCCACTCAGAATCACCATGTGTGTGATGGAGAGCCATATAAATTTGATAAATATATAAAACTATGAAATAGTTTTGGCATTGGCATTATAATGTGTGTATAATTGTTTTATTGAAAGAATTTGATTTGCATAGATTACAGTTTCATGCAAACACTGTAATGAATTCTGGGATATGGATTTTGGTAGAGTGGACTATTTTTTAATTTTTTATTACTAGTAGCTGGTACAACTGCAGCTATGTAATCTATAGAACTAGCGGATGTTAATTGTGAAAGGTTGTAGAAAGTGAAAAAGATGGTACATTTATTTAACTCAGTTGATACATGGATAGTACCATTGCTAAAATAATAAACACATTGCAATTTATCTATTTGTGTGATGAAATGCAAAAATAATATGATAAAATTAAATTTGGGAGTTACTTTGGCTGAACATAGGATGGAAATCTTCATGGAAATGAAGAATTTCCATGAATATTATCATACTGTAAATAATTTCAAAACTATTTGTTTTTATTTGCAGCATGTCTTAGAAAAGAAGTTGTATTCTGATTTCAAGTCTGTTGTTATTTTCTTACATGCTGCAAGGCAATTTGCATATATGAAAGTATGATCCTCAGTTCTAACACATTATCTGATGATCCAAATGGAAATTAGGGACCCATCGTTCCCTAATTGGTCAATATCAGAAAAACACCACACAAGATTACGTACTATGCAAAACAGAGAAATTCCCATTCCCCAAAGAGTAAAGCTGAACAGTGGAAGACATGTGAAACCTTGCAAATGAGGATATGACCTCATGCTATCATCTCACTGCATGATTAAAGGAAAGCAAATCATATGTAAGATTCTGATAGGTACATATTATCAGTTATGTACATATTACATGTGTATAATACAATATGAATTGTGATACTAAAAATGCCTCCTTCCCAAATGTGGGTTTGATGGGTACATTGAAATATATTATGAATGCTTAACAACATGACTACCAGAAATAGAAAAAAAAAAGATTTACTATACTTTGTTAACTGTTTAATCTACTTAACTCTCACTTCTACACCTGCTTCTTCTTCTTTATTCTTAATCACTGCACACATTGCCAAATAAAGGGCACCTTTGTAGTTTGAAACATGCACATATACACACACATATGTACATTGATCATCCCTTATTTTCAACAAACATCAAGGGACTGTGACCAATGATATTTTTGGAAATAATGAATATGTCATAGGCTGGGTGTTTGCAGTATTCCAATTTTCCCACCCCACCTTCCTTTTTTAAAATGGAGGGAGGGGTCCCAGGGAGTGTAGTGGCCAAAAGAAAAAAAAAACTCAATTTATGAACTTATTGCTACTGGGGTCAGTTACAATCAGGTCACAATCAGGATATCTCTCTCCATCTATTAGATAGCAAACATAAAATTGCATATTTTGTGAGAATGAAAGAAAGTAGTATTTTTTAACTTGCTAAATTATTGGTGGTTATGGTACCATGTTAGAAACTTGGAGATTAGGACTTTTAGTCTGGCTTTAGGCAGCTGTCTCAGTGTCTGTCTGTCTCTCTCCTAACAAATCAATTGATTGTTGGGAAAGGAAATATTATGTTAGGATAACTTAAAAATAGAGTTATGGGTAGAAAAAAAAGTTTAGCACCATATTATGGTCATGGAAAAAGGAACACTTCATGTTCTAGTATCTTATTAAAGCTGTGTTTAGCCTTCTTAATAATGTATTATAATGTTTCAAAAAAGTTGTACTGGATTCCTTTGCTGAAAAAGCAACCTTCTGATTTTTTTTTTCTTTCTTTCTAATTTCCTTCTTTTGGACCTTCCCTTTCCAGATGGCACATCTAAGTTATGCTTTCACCTTGCATTTTTGCCTTCACTGACCCAACTCTTGGCTTATATAACTCAAATGAATGTCACTACCTTCTATATCTAGAGGTGGCAGAGGCATCTTGATTTTCAGACCAGTGGAGCACATGATTGTGAAAGTTACCCTGCTCCTTATCATATATGCATCATGAATAATAATGGTAACAGTTCAGGTATCCTTGAATCCTCCCTGAAAGTATAGTACCTTTCCAAGATGCATTTGAACTTGCACCAAAGAATTAGATACATGCTTACATTAGAAAGGTAGGAAAGTTATTAGGAGATTGGTTCAGTGCAATGTATTTTAGCCTTGGCAACTTTAAGATGTCTGGCTGAAGATTTCTCCAGTTTAAAGTCTATAAGCAGAGAAACATTGGTGTGATACAATGAATTGGATAACTTGGATGAATAGGCTCCTAACATGAACAATGATAAAAAATATCCTGTGGAGAAAAAAGTAACTGACAACCATAAACTCTTGTTTCACTATCCAATTTAAATATTCTACCTCTTGATTTTTCTTTTATCCATCCAATTTCTGAATTTACAAATGTCCATTCCTTGTAATGTTTTCTATTTTAATTGACTATGATCATTCAAACCATTTTTGCCCTGCACATAGAGATAAAGATTATTTTTTCACTGACTTTGTAGGCTAAAAAAAAACCTTGGCAGCTTTTATGAGGCACAAAATCTGGATTAGATCAAGATATGCAACTCCCTGAATATGTTTTTTTAAGGTAGTATAAATTCTAGGCATAGTGGTTGACAGTTGTGAGGAAAGTGTTCTGCATAGTGATTCTTTATCATAAATAGAACTGTGTGTTGCAATTGAAACATAATAAGCACAGTTACTCTCTCTTCCTTTCTCATTATTTGTATGGCAAAAGGAAACAAAAATATTCTTTCATTTCAATTAGGCTTGTGAAGATTACATCAAGTCAAACTTTTATTAGCAAAGTTGAAATTCATGTAGAATGAAAATATTTTTTAAAAAACCATACATATACATAGGCATGATACAAACAGCAACTACATACAAACACATTTTTTCTAAGCCTTAAGAAATTTTCATGGACATTCATTTCAAAAAGGAATAGCCAGAACCTAGTACTCATGTCCCATATATATTTTTTTAATCTTCCATGAAGTAACATTTAAAAAAATGCTTTGGCTCTGACCAATTCTGTGCAAAAGCTGAAATTTATGTAAGATTACAAAGATGAATACTTGATAGGTTATGAATGGTGCTAACATGTAAACAAGCTATTTAAGATTTGGAAAGGCAGATTAACAGGACAGTGGTATGCATGCTTAATAAGGAAGTCCTACTTATTCAGTAGAGTTTGGTAGGACTGACAATTTTAAATTAAATATTTAATTTGGAAGGAGGCAAGGGTTTGATGTTCTGATTAGCAAACATTGGCTCTTCTGCTAAATCAGTAGAAGTTTTATCAGCACAAGAATAGATTTTCTCTGTATTGTGTATCTTATTTTTGTCTAATTTAATAAAAGGGATCAAGAATCTCATTCCCAATTGTTTAAACTCAGTTGAATGAGCATATGTATACAACATTTGAAGCATATTATTCAAATGTGTTATCAGTAATGCAACAAAATAAATTATGGTTTAAATACCAGATCTCATTATGTGGAAGCTAAACATTATTCCTATCTAAAACCATGGCTGTGATCTGGTACACCATGCCACAAACTGAAGAAGCATAACAGAATAACAGATTTGGAAGGGACTTAGAGGCCTTCTAGTCCAATTCCCTGCTCAGGCAAGAAACCCTATACCACGAAGGATGGGAAGAGTACAGGGGATGGTCAAGTTCTGAGCACCTGCTAATTCCTTGCAAAGAAAATTGAATTGACTGAAATGATTTACAACAATATTCACATATTATTTTCCCCTTAAATGAGACCCAGATTGATCTGTGCTATATGTAAATTTGGCAACTTCACTCACAAATCAATATTAGGTTAGACCAATGTTTCTCAACGTTGGCAACGTGGAGATGTATCAACTTCAACTCTCAGAATTGTTCATCCACACATCTTCAAGTTGCCCAGGTTGAGAAAGTCTAGGTTAGACTAATAAATGAATACAGTGGAAACTAAACACACAGCTGGTTTGTCTTTCCTTTAGATATTGAACAGATCGCTGAATGAGAAGATTCAATGCCATGAATGAGAAATGTCATAAGGGACTAATAGGAGGCACTGGGAGCTATTACTATTTCTACTACTTCATCACCATGTAATTATATAACTTTATAGAAAGTGGGAGTCTCCCCGGTAGGCCTAGACCATCTCTGACATTTGGGAATGCAGTAGAAGGCTCATCCCCCTCTAGTTTGCCATAGTGCTTGAGTTACTGTTTTACCCTTAGATTCTCCTGCATTCTGTGGTCGTACAAACTCAAAGTTATTTTTGTCACCACTAGTACAACTGGCAACATACTCTTGCCTCATTGCCAAATTGCTCCTCTTTTTCCTCTATGTCTTCCAATCATTTCTCAGAGCTGTCGTTGTAACTTTCAAATAATTTCTTCTGTCTATCTGGCATCTGTCTACTGAAACACAATCAAAATTACATGAAATAGGATTTCCTCTCTGGTAAGTTTACAGAGTTGTAGACATAGAACTTATCTATTACATCTTCTGGTGACATATTACACATGCTTCCTAGAGTCTTTGAAATGATTCTCTTTAATTGATTAGAAGATCAGAGGTCAGTGCAAATTGTTGATAGACAGAGAGCAACAGCTAGTCATATTTTCTGCTATGCCAGGAAATGGTACAGCTTGGTTGTGTACAGTACCAATAATCATAACTTGATGGTTTTGGCTGTAAGCTAGATATAACTGAATTTACTTTGACCTTTTTTTAACAGATCCTCCTTCAGAGATACCTCAAGAAATCATTTGAGTCGAAGAAACTAGACTGTGAGTTCAAATTCCTGATAGACAATTCAGTTTATAAAGTGGCAAATAATATTAGACTTTTTCTGCTCCACATTGACAAAAAGCCTTGGCATTATTCCCATTTTTATGATCATATTGCTATCATCTAAAATTCACATTAATGGAAAAATGGAACATCTCTGCTGAAATCAAAATCCATATTCTGGTGTGAGCAATTAAATTTGTAACATAAACTTTTTTTCACCTCTCTCTCCAAAACAACAATGTAACTAATTACTTCTGGAGGAATATGCAGATATTTGGAAGCGATCAGTTCAAAGATGATGTTCCTTTTGGGATAAAACCATTAATGTCTCAGGAGCATCAATTTAAGAATCCAATGCAGACCTTAAAATCTAGATTGTACTTTTCAGTGCATGGTTTAAAAGCTGGGAGCTGTCATATTAAACTCTACTACATCTTCTGAAGGAGAAATTACCATAGGTAAAATAAATTTAGTGAGAAATAAAAGAGAATGCTGTAGATCTGTCAGAAAGCATTTCTTTCACAGGTTCATAGATACTATCATTTTTCAGGTGTCGAGTATCACAATGTCCTCAGTGGTCTTTGTTCTAGTGTAGATGTTGGTGTGTGTTTGTGTATGTCTCTGTATGTTTATCAATCTACATTGTTTCTTAAGAAAACACTTTTCTTCAGAAATCCTTCATGCTGTATCTAAAGGTTCACTAGTAAGTTTTCACAGTCCACTGGAATAATATCTCCTTAGACTATGAAACGTTAAAACATCTAATATTCATGTACATCTGAATTAGACAAACAGCCCATTATCACATAATAGAAAAAAATGCAAGGTAGCTGCAATACTTCTGATTTGGCACAAAATGTCATGTTTAGTCTTCCTCACAATTTAAAAGAAATTCTATTGATTAAAAAAAATGGTTGCCTATGGAAATATCAAGAACAGAAATCTCTCCCTGATGAGAAGTTGATTCCCGCAATGAACTGTTCATTCCCCTTCCTTCATTCCCAGTTCATCCAGGAACACTCTCATTATATGATGATTTCCTAGGCTGGACTTTATAAAAGAAATGGAGAGACTGGAATGATTCGGAGGAATAAAAACTGGTCAACTATATCAACAAATCTCCACATAAAGCAAGGGCTTATTTTAAAGGAGGATTGTTCTACTAGCAAATTGTGATGCTGCATCTTCTGGTTCAATTATATGCACACACAAAAAGGTGTAAAGGAAGAAACCTTCAGATGTACTCTTCAAATAACATGTTCTGGGTCATCCTTCTTCTCTGATGTTTCTACCCCTTTTGTATGGAAAGACCAGGAAGGTATTAAAACCAGCAGTTGAAGAAGAGGGACTGGAGAAGGCTGCCCAAGTTTGTCATTCTCCAGGGCCAACTCTGACTCAAAGGAGAGTTGGTCCTTCTTTTAGCAGCTTTTTAAAAAATAAAGGTAGGGAAATTATATTTCAAATAGAGTCGGAGCTGAATATTGAGGAACAAAATGTTCCCTGCACATGGTCTCTTGAAAGCCTGCCTCCCCATTCCCTTAAGATGGAAACCATGCTATCAAACTTCGGAAACAAAATGGTTAATTTTAATGGGATTTGGGAAGGTGGAAGGCGATAATAGGACTGCTTTGTCTCCAAGAAGTATTTATACTTATCACTACCAAAGCCCCAATGGGAAGAAAACAAGTTCCTTTGATACATGTCAAGTTTATACAGCTTATAAAAGACTGTATTAGCACCTTACCACTTGAACAGTGGTATCTTGCCTAGCAGCCATTAGTATGGACCAAGAGCTGAAATTATCTTTTTATACAGCGCTGGGTTCAAATGTTGCAATAAGTAATTAGGACTCTGATTAACAGACAATTGTTACTTTCTATGTAACATGCTGTTTGACATTTCCAAAATATTAAGTCCTAGCCAAAATGAATGGATCTGATCTGAGTTGAAGATCAGTGCTTAGTTAATTGCATCCTTGTTATCTGCGGTTGGGGTTAGGGGAAAAGGAACATTGAATAATGTGCATGTCTCAAAATTAACAAAATGGGCATGTAAAAGCCTACCAAGATAAGAAAGAGAATTGAGTAACAAGGCAAATAACATATTAAAATAAAATAGGGAAGTATATTATTCCAAGATAGTTTTGCATACAATAGTATCTACATTGTTATAATGAATATGTCTTCCTTTCTACAACGTACACCAAAAAAACTTTAAACTTTGGGTGACAACTCTATTATACACTCAAAGCATTGATAGAAACCCTTTTCAATAATCACATTTGCTTTGATTTAATAAGTGAGACACAATATTCATAGTTAGAGATTCATAAATGTTTCTGAATATATTTTGCTTGGAAAAATGAATTGTATCCCCCTAAATGTAACTTCCTGGGAAGAATTAAATTGCCACCAAATTCCATAATGACATGCTGCACCTTGACAAAATAAAAATTAGCATGACTTCCCCTGAAAGTATCAGTATAAACTTAATATATACAAACATTCAGAAAAGAGATGTGGGCATTCAAATATGAAGTGGTGAAAAATCCTATTTCCTTGAAAAGCCATCTCTTTCCTGATTTTTTTCTTCTTCTTGTTTGAATTGAGTAAAACTCCACGATTTTGAAAGAGCCATGTACTTTCTATAACCCAAAGAAAGTTTTGAATTTGCTTGCATAAAGAAAGGGTGACAGCTAGTGGGCAAAACATAAAATATCATCTAACTGTGCTATATTTGAAGGCCTTGTTATCTATCCATACAGAATACAAATTCTCATATAATGGCACACTTTCCATATCTTTTCAAAATAAGACATATCGCGGAGTGCACTATTATCACTAGCTAATGTTTTTTGTTGCTGCTACACATTTTTTTTGCCTGAAGATCCCTGTAACACCGAAAATATGGGATTACTATGAAATGAGGTTTGAAACATACACAGAGAAGCAGAAACGTGTAAGAAAGTGGAAATGCTAACCTAGGGCCCATTGTTACTAGTTACAACATAACAAGAATGTGTACAGAGTGCAGTACATGCAGTAGAATATATCACACCATCAGTTATTCCCAACAGAAAGATAATGTGCTATTATCGCTGACTAAGCACACCAGCAAGAATGACCATCAGCAGACATGATGCGTTGGCTTCGCATTGTATCCTTGTGCAACAGAGAACTGAGCAAGAAAAAGGATAGTATAGAGATATAAGGGACTACTTGGCTTCCGAAGCTTTCCAGCACCATTGGCTAGCACAGTGTCAGTCATGCCAGCATAACCTTCTCTCCATAATATTTGGTTATAACATTCTATAGCCTGCCAGACCCAAATCAAAGACAGAGTTGTAGCAGTTGCTCATTTAATGTCAACTCTTTGACTGCTGTTCCAGTTAAGAGATGTTTATAAAACTGGGTTGTAAAAGACCTGGAGGAAATTAGATCCCAAAATACATCTATAACACTGAAGAAGGTATGGTTTTGGTCAGACTAAATGACATGTGTGATGAAACTTTAGTTCAGAGTCTTTTTCTTTTTTTAATGAATTGAAAATGTCCGTGTCTTGAAAAAAGAGTTAAGTTTCAAAAAAAAATATCTTTTTAAAGTCATCTGCCTGTTTCTGTACCTGCTGCATGTCCAGGTCTTTAACTTTTCTGCAGCCTATTTCTGCCTTGTATAATATTTGATGAGAAGTAAAGATAAATACGATGATCTGAAATGAATAATTCATGCTTAATATTTTATGCATGGAGAGGAAAGGTTGCTGTGGAACTCCCAATGCTTTCAACCGAGGCTTTTTCTTTGCATCCAGCATAAGCGCCAATAAACGAACCATCTTCATTGAACATCCTGTGGTCCCCCTCTCCATAATCCACTAAGCTATCAGCACTTTCTGCACCTTTAATGTCCATGTTAAGAGACCGCAGGCTTCCTTTGAGCGGCTTTTCATCACTGTCACTGAAAGAGGGAAAAACACTTGTGAGGAGCAGAAGGGCACATTCCATCATACAGAGAAAATTAAGAAAACGAGAGACTGGAAAATTCTATTTAGGACGACATTTGATTCTAAGCCAAATACCACCTTGGAGTGAGATGCTCAGAGGTTTTAGGACTTCTGATAGAAGTGCCTCGATAGGGAAAATGTATAATATTCAAAAACATTTGATTCTAAGCCAAATACCACCTTGGAGTGGGAGGCTCAGAGGTTTTAGAGCTTCTGATAGCAATATTGACAGGAACAAAATCTCCTCCTAGCAGATCAGTAAGGCTACCAGTAGAGTTGGAAGCAGAAAAAAAAATCAAAGTAACAGGAAAATACACCAGAAAAGTATTATTTTTAAAGATGGTAAATGGTTTTCTCAAAGGCAAATGCAATTAAATACATATAAAGTGATCAGAGGTGGCTTTCACATAATTTTACTACCAGTTCACTGTACACCAAAAATGTGAGTGTGCTGGCACTTTGCTCATGTGCACAGCTTAGAAAACATGGACCATCTGCACCACTGCTGGTTTGCCCAAACCTGTCCGAATTGGCTGAATACCACCACTGAAAGTGATGCATAATGGGACCAAATCCCTTGTTTCATATATACAGTAATAAGATTGGTGTTTGTTGTTTGTTAGCTGAGAATACACATAATTGAGGCCAATATGAAAGTGACAGGGCATGTTTTTCTCCCTGTTTCAAAGCAACCACATGGAATCACATAATGAATCTGACTGGGAAAAGATTTAGATCAGACAAAAGGCTGCACTTTTTCATTCAGTGGATGATTAAAGTGTAAATGGGTTACATCCAAATCTTGGATGGGTCTAAAAGGGGACGGAATAAATTCAAAATTCATGGAGGATACATCTATAAACAGCTTTAATATTACTTTTAGATTCGAAGTTGAAACAGCAGTGGGAAAAATATTCTTTATATCTATCTTGTATAAAATATACTTTTCCATCTATTTGCTTCACTTCTGAAATGAATTATGTGGTGTAAATTACAGACTTAAAGGCAGAAAGCTGATAATTCTTTTCCAAACTCGAAGACATCCATTGCAAGCAAGTATACGTAGTATACTCTACTGGCAAATGTTATTGCAAAAGTTTGCATTATGCTAATTTCATTTATTGGAGGAACTTCTACAAACAGATTAGTAGGGATCAAGAGTGAGAGACAAATTCATTCCATTTGGATTTCAGGGTACTCTTACAAATTCAATCTCTGATATAAATTAATTCACACTTCTCTCTGTGTGGAATGTATTAGAGTAAGGATGCACAAAAATATGCACATTGTTGTATAAAAAGGCAGGTATGAAAATAGGAATAACTTGAAGTATCTAATCTCCAAAAAGAAAGTGGGTGGTTTTTTTCCCCCCAAACATAGACTTTTCCCTCTTTTCAGAGGATTTTTTTTTACAGGTGGGAATGAGAATGAAAGTTTCTAGGAAGCAATCCCAAACTAATAAAAGTGGCTTCAACCTTGAACTTCAGACAAGTAATTTCATACCACTTTATGGGTTATTAGCATTTGGGAAGGGGGTATCTAGGAGCCATGGTCGTGCAGTGGTTAGAATGCAGCAGTATTGCAGGCTAATTCAGCTCACTGCCAAAAGTTTGATCTTCATCAGCTCAAGGTTGACTCAACCTTTCATTTTACCAAGGTTAGTAAAATGAGGACCCACATTGTTGGGGGCAATATGATGATTTTGTAAACCACTTAGAGAGGGCTGTAAAACACTGTGAAACAGCATATAAGTCTAATTGCTATTGCTATCTATGTCCAAATGTCTCCCACATACAAATATAATAATATTATTATTAAAACTGACTAAGGACCCAGAAAGATGTTTCAGAAACATGGGGAAATGTTATGAAATTGTTTTGTTTATAACATTTCCAGTCAAACAATGATATTTCATTTGTTTCATATTAGGAGTACATTGATTATAGAGTACTATATGAATTATTTCTGCATTTTCAGAAAAAAACTATGCATATGTGTGTGTGCCATTACACTCCAGATTATATGAGCAATCTGACTGTTCAATGAAATAACTGCCCCAAAGGCCCTAATAATTTATTTTTTATTTTATCAAAATATTTATAAAACCATTCATAAGAAACTAATAAAAATGAAATTCATCCCACTAAAGTATGCGGTATAATATTTCATATCATCCCCTTGAAATTTTATTTGACAATCGAAAAATATTATTGCTTGCAATATTATTAGAAGATCTTATAAGAGCACTATTTACCCCAAACATTTCAATGAAGTATATGTCTCACTAACCTATATTCACCAAAGATTTCATCTTTTATGGATTGGCCTTCAGGATCTGGATGCAAGTCTTCTTTTTCTTTTACTGCAAATAGATAAAAACGTCTCTCATTCAGATATTTTTAGGCATTTGCTTTCATGTAATAGGAAACAAGGCACAAGTTATCTTATTGTATGACCATCTTTTAAAAGAGGTGCAGTGATTCAGTGGTGTAATGATGTTGGAGAAGGTCTCAGCTCCAGCAGTTCAAGACTAAGCATTGCATGACAGAGTGAGCTCCTGTAACTCATCTCAGCTTCTGTCCATCTAAGAGTTTGAAAGCATGTTCTATGCAAATAGATAGAAAGGAAGCAATTTGGTGGAGAAACAAGATAGTGCTCTGTGTAGGCAGTCAGATTACTGGTGACTCTGAACCTTCCTGATTGCACTGCCCATTGTCGAGCAGCTCCGGGAAGGGAGGAGTCTTGGTGACGCTGTAGGAAGAGCTGCTCATCTTTCTCTCTGGTGCAAAGCCAGCTCACCTCCTGTGGCACACATTGGGAAGCGTGCAAGTGTCCTATAACTGTGTTAGTACCTGGGCAAGCCAAACTACTGCTCTGCAATAACACCGTGCTCTCCTGACTCTGTAACAACACCATATGATAGTAACAACAATAACAACAACAACCATCATTTAAAGCTCTTGTACTAACAGAATAACAGAGTTGGAAGGAATGTAAGAGGTTATCTAGTCCAACCTTCTGCTCAAGCAGGAGACCCTATACTATTTCTGACAAATGGCTTGAAAGCCTTCAGTAATGGGGCATCCACAACTTCTGAAGGTAAGCTGATTGGTGGATTGCTCTCACAGTCAGAAAATTTATCCTTATTTCTAGATTGAATCTCTCCTTCATTAGTTTCCATCCATTTTTTTCTTGTCTGGCCTTCTCTCCGTGAAAGCCCCTCAAAAATTGGAATGCTGCTATTATGACACAACTGATCCTTCCCTTCACTAGACTAGCCATGCCCAGTTCCTACAACTATTCTCCATATGCTTGAGCCTCCAGGACCCTCATCATCTTTGTTGCCAGTGCTGAATTATTCACAATATTATCATGTGTTCAGTGGTGGGTTCCGGCAGCTACTACTGCCTGTTTGCTCAGGGACACGCTGTGCACATGTGCAGTACAACAAAAATTGCTATGTGCAGAAGCAAAAAACAAGATAGCAGTGTCTACAGCGCCACCAGGGCTGGGTTGCTTCCGGTTCCAGTGACCCAGGCCACCAAGCTACTACTGGTTCAGCCGAACCGGGCCGAACCGGTAGGAACCCACCACTGATGTGGTTAATACCACTAATTGGATTTAAGTTGATTATCTTAGTTTAGATGAAGCTAAATCACTTGGCTCCATAATCCCAGTTTCCTAAATTATGTAAGTTTTGGAAGCAAATTATTCAATGTGATTTGCTATTTTTTTTATTACAACTGCCTTATCTGTGGCAAACCATGGAATGAGCTCTACAACTCAGTCCTATATTGAAAGAGTGGCATTTTTAATTTTGGACTAAAAGTGAAATTCTATTGTGACTGCTTTTGCCTTCTACTACTGTTTCAAGACTTCTTTTTGAGGAAACCTTGCCAGATTCTCTTTGCTCCAGATATTAATGGGCTACTTTTAAAAGTATTCTGTATAATCTTCACAGAATAATACAGTGCATGTTTAAAGAAACATACAATAAATATAACATCAGCATACTGTATAGGTATGAACCATGCTTTTTAAAATAAAAAATAGCAGTAATTTAAAACTTTAACTTAATTCTAAGTGAATTGAGAAGTCTGTCTCACTTGAAATACTTTATGCTTGCCTGAAACTATTTTCAGCTCTTTCAACTTTTCCTTGTAAGTTTTAATTAACAAATAAAGTTCAGTGATAGGAACAATTATTTTAAATAAAAACTGGAATCCTATAGAAAGCCAAAATTCAGGTATGAAGTATGTCTTTAAAAAAAAAACTTTCTATTGGAGTGGCTTCATGTACTATGGATCTTTGTTTCTTATTCTCTAGCCTCGCTTCAGCTCCACCTTTGAGGCTTTAGGGATCACAGCTTTGGCCTTGAAACCAGCAGTCATGCAATTGGTTAGCCTGGGGAAGGAGTAATTATCTTGAGCCATGATATAGTTGATACAACATTGAAAAAAGACCAGACTGCAAAACAAGATGGCTGAAACTGCTAGAAATCATAATCAATCAAATACAATTACCACTGAGCTCTATATAGCTACATCTTCCATTACTTCCAGCACTTGAACTAGGATAGTTTAGCTAGACTCCAGCAGATCCCAGAAATAAAATCAGAGCTCTCGGTCAGGAAGAGACAATCAGTGTTAGGAACAGCTAAGATACTGAGGAAAAATCTCAACCTTGCAGAACCTGAGATTGAAGAAGGCGCATTCCCCCTACAGGAGGTTTGCAAAAAATAAAAATAAAAAAGGACATTCATTTTCCAGGAGGGAATAAGGTATCTTGCCTTAGTCAGAGGGTTGGACTAGAAGACCTCCAAGGTTCCATCTAGTCCTACAATTCTACGTTAAGTAAGTAAGTAAGTAAGTAAGTAAGTAAGTAAGTAAGTAAGTAAGAAAAATAAGTTAGTTAGTAATTAAATACATACATACTTACATAAATCCTAAATTTAAAATGATAGAGAAAGTGACAGGTTTTTTGACAGGATCTTTATTTTTTTCAAAAATAAAAGTTCCGACTATGTAGTGTACATTTTTGTTAATTTACAGAATGCTATTCTCAAAGACGCCATGGTGAAGGCATCACTTTACTGGCTATTATTATGGCAATTAGCTGACATTATTAAATAGAAACTTCTGAGGTGTGCATGTGTTTCTGGAGGCTTTTCCATTTTTATCAAGTACGCCTTTATTTGGGAAAGGATCCTGTTTTCTTTCAGCCGATTCTAACTTAAAACAGAATTGGTAGTCTTGTCGTTTCCATGCATTTTCCCCATTCAAAGAAGCTTTTTTTTATATATTCATAAGGAATATCAAGAGATAATTTCTGGAAGCTCCCAAAGGTCTGTTATCAGCTCTTGATAATGTGGCGAGCATCATTGGTTGCTGTGGATCGTGGAGTTTATGTAACTTTCTGACCTCCAAGAAGACTTAAAACTCTAATTTGATGATAACCTGCAAAAGGCTTGTACATCATTATAAAAGTATATTCGATTTGGAGAACACACTTTTTCTTACCTGAATATTTTCCTCCTTTGTTCCTTTTAACAAAGCAGATAGTAAGCAACAGTAAGGTAAGCAAAGCGACGGCACCCATCAGTCCAATAAACCAACCTTGTGTGGAGATTCGTTCATAAATTCCAGTGTAAGCTTTGAATGGAAAATATAAATATATATGAAGGTATAAGAACATAAAAATAAAAATTTGGTGTTTTAAAGAACATTTTAGAACTAATTATCAGGGGCTAGCAATCTGCATTGGGAGAGGGGAATGAATATTTATATTAAAACCAAGTCTGAAAGGCACATTATTAAGATTTAGAACATTTCATTGCAGATTTTAATTAAGCAAACAAACATGAATACAATACTTAAACCAGATCGTCATGCAAAAGTAAGAAAGAGAGGGTTAAAAAGTGTATAGAATAGAGACAAATGCATAGCTTACTGCGTATAAAATGCAAGAAGAAAGGGACTAGCAAGGTAATTAATATCTAAGCTGTACAAACTGGCCTTTATGAACTGGTTTCATTTTTGTGTTGGAAGTTGAATTTTAAATTTAGATTTTAGAGCAAAAATGGGAGTGATATCTCAGTATCAGGCTCACCTATAATAGCTCAAGTTCTGCAGGAGATTATGCAATAAAGGCCATTCCTTAGGAGCTACGAATGCAGAGGAAGTGGGGAATTTTGAAGAGCAATGTGCGCCAATGTCTTAATGGGACATCAGGAGCATAATCCAAGAAATAGAAGGAATATGTCTAGGATAAAGAACTAGCCAAGCACAAAGGAAAAAGGGCAGAGCTGCATTTGAGCTGCAACTTCCACTGATAAGGGATAATACTTAGAGCCAAAGGCTTACAAGTTGCCTCTTTGGAGAAAAATGAAGACCCATTCAGAAATTTGTCATATTGTCTAATATCCACATTTCACTCTAGAATTGTATTGGGAGAAATAGTTTCCCTCTTTTTATTATTTTAATCTCCCATAAAATTTTAATTTTGGCCAACAGCACTTGCTGAAACTGAGAACACAACATACTCCTGGTATGCAAACATTATTTGCACAACGGTTTTCTGTTTTCAACAGTAAAATGCTGGAACAACTATATGCCAACTTCTCTAAGAGTTATCACAACTTGGATTGCAAAAATCTAAATAAAACTTCAGACTGCAGAAAATTATACAGAAAATTAATTCATTTGCTGCCATCCATTGGTTTTGTTAAGTTTTGCAGTCCAAGCATAAGTAGTCCTAATTACTCTATATTTTTTCTGAATACTCTATATAGAATTGGAATTATTAATGGAAACTTGCTACTAAAGGTAAACCAAAAAAACTGTGGTGGGACGGGACTGATTACATTCACACTAACATTTACTGCAAAGTTAATTTGCAATTGTCAGTCTAAGATTCAAAATATTAAGAGAAGTCTACATTTCCTGTACTAGATTTGGTCCCAGCAGTACTTCTGAAAATTGGGGTGTTTGAGGATTATGAACTGGGAAACTACTTTTTTTTCTGTTGAAATCAACAATAAAAATCCAATTATAATAGGTGCAGAAATGTCTGAATATATAACTGTTTCATGTTACAATTGTGTAGTATATAATCTTAATACGCAGTTGCTAAAGTTTTGTTTTTGTGAGACTCGTGGTCATCTTAGAGGCCTGAAGAATTTCTCACCTCTCCCCCTGGTCTCAATTACATCTGCAGAAATGCTATTATTATCAACCCAATTCTTAGTCATTAGTCGAATTGTATTTGCAGTTCCAGGATCAAGAGCCTCAACAGGCTGACTCTTTGGGGTAGGCTTAACTTCAGTAATCTTCCCGACAGCTTTACCTATGGAAGGCACAGAGTCAAGTCAAATAGGTGAATTGGGTGAGGGCCTCAGGATATAAAATTACAGAATCACTACCAGTTAATATTAATAGGTCAAGCATTTATCCTTAGATAATTTTGCATTTATGACAAAGGATAGTTTAGGGTAATGATCATATATGAAACTTTAATATTCATGTAGTGTATGTTCTAAATTGTATTTATTGTAATAGGATCTAGTCATTTATATTACTGGATAATTTATTCTAGTTTCTGAAAATTCAAGAAAAGTACCTTAAATTTAATAAAATATTCATTGATTTATTGATCATAATTAAATATCCAAATAAATAAATGATGTTTATATAAAAATGGAAAATTTAATCTTGCACAAAATTTCAATAAAAGTTACATTTAGACCTAAGTTCTAGTGAATAAATGCTAGAATATGCATTTTCCCCCCTTAAAAACTCAAATACCCAAATTGTTCCAACTTTGTTGGGAAAAAAGTTAAATGATTGATATATCATTACAATTACAATCACATCTAGTAATCCCTCTAATAAAATTATCATCACTTGAATAAAAGTAAGTGTCTTTTAGGATTCTTAAGACTATGGTAAGCTTTTATAGCAGAGTAGATAACTGAGGGATCCTTGGTGCTCTCTGAGCTTGCTTGTTTTCTTGCAGATATTTTATTACCCTAACTAGGTAATTTCATCAGTGCTTGATGCAGAGGTGGTATGCTGCTGGTTCACACCAGTTTGGGTGAACCAGTAGTGGCAGCGGTGCAAGGCTCCGCCCACCCACCCTGACATCATCAATTGCCTTCTGCGCGTGCGATCTCGCTACCGAACAGGTACTAAAGAAAATAGAATACTATCTCTGGCTTGATGTTACCTAGTTTGGGTAATGAAATGTCTGCAAGAAAACAAGGAAGCTCAGAGAGCATCAAGGACCCCTCATCTCAACCTTGAACTACAAAAATTCTCCTTTATTAGAGTACATAACTGAAATTTCAGGACTACATTTCAGTCTAGGGCATGACTAAGAGCTTTCAAAAAGTTGCCATCAAATTGTCTTATTAATGTGGAGGAAAAGGAAAATGCATGAGAATTTTTCCATTTAATTTAATGCAAATTAGGTTCTAATGCAATGAAAGTTAAATCAAATTCTCTTTCTCAACCTTGCCTACATTTTTGCCTTGGTTATATCTCCTGCTGTCTGGTCGAGATACACTGCTCAAAGGTAGAACATGTTCCTCAATCCAAGAAGCATTGGGAATCTTGGATTTATGTCATAATACATTTGTTAATTTTTAAAGTATTATAAGGCACTTTCTGGTTTCTGCTCTAACAGAGTAGTAGTTACCTCATTAAATAATTATTTTACTTTTGTTTCATGAATCAAATGAAAAGTCGGGATGTAATTTTATTCTTTTGACTCTTTTAATCTATTTTATACTATATTGAAAGTATAATTCTTTAAGAACAAACAAAAAAGAAGAATATTTAAATCCTAGAGAGGAAACCTGTATATTATTTAACTCTTTAATCTTCTCTTAAATAAGATTTCCAAAACATTTTAAGTATTCTTTTTTTAAGTAATAATTTATTTTGCTTTATTTGCTCAGTCTGTCTAATGCTACAACTTGAAGTACAATGTATCTATTATAACAGATAGTTATTAGTTCATAGATATAGTGGAGCTTGCAAACTCTTAGATAATTTGAATGTGCAATGCAGAAGCAATGATTATTAGTTCTGGAATAAGCAAGCAAGCAAATAGCAGCTTCAAGAGATTAACACTCAGAAGATAACTGAAAGGGAAAAAGAGAAAAGATTAAAAATGGTTGGATATAGACAAAAGCAGCAGAATATGACAAGGTTTTTCCAAAACAATTATTTATCAATTACAGCCTGTGCTTTAATTATAATAGTGCCAGGGAGAATTAAAAGGGAATACCGTATGTTGATTGGTGCATTAAACCAATATTTGATGAGAAGGGTTTAACATAATTAAAACTATCTGGCAGAATTGATATTGCTAAATTAATTCCATGAAGTCGAAACTATGTATTCTAATCAAACTACAAATTAAACAGCAGGTCATTACAAGTTATTTTTCCCCCTAAATGCACAAAGTAATACACTTAACATAAATGTTTTCTGAAAGGGGAAAATATATTATGTCAATTTCTGTCATTTCAAATAATCCAAACTATTTAAAGCTGTCAGATACACAGGATTACAAATTGAAAGAGACGGGAGGCTTCCTCCAATTCTGTCAGGCATATTTCAGCTGCCGAAGTACCTGAAAATCAAGCATGTTCCATCAATTGCTTTAGACATCAAATTTCAACAGATAGTTCTAATAATAATGGTTCTGTGATAACATTCCTTACAGATGTTCAAAGTGTTTTGACCTTGAAACATTTTGATTATTTTCTGTAATACAAGGTAGTTTCACGGTCAAGGCAAAATTTTGTTTCAATCTTGGAATCAATGCTATCGATTTAGAAAATTGCTATTTTAATTTTTTCTTACTGGCCTAAGCACTGAGATTGAGCAATGCTTCTCTTTTTATGATTGAGTTACTGTTAATCTTTTGAGATGTTTTCTAGCTTATCCATTTCGGCAGAGACTCTACTGATGTTTATGGGTTGATGTGGAGATGAAGGAAACTGGACAGAGCAAATAGTCCTCAATGATGATGGCATTTGAGGCTGAGTTGTTGATGATAGGTGGGTGAAGGGGTGCCCAATAAGGCCTGGGGCAGAGGTGGGTTCCTACCAGTTCGCACCTATTCGGTAGAACCGGTTCGTCAAATCTACCGAACCAGTTAGAAGAGGTTCCACCGGTGGACCCGGAAAGCAGGCCACACCTACAGAAGAGGTTCCAAACTTTTTTGAAACCCACCACTGGTCCTTGGATATGATTATTCTACACTATCATGCTCATATTTATAAAACTCAGTGCCTCTGTGAAAGGTAAGGATGACTACTGCGTTTGTTGAAGTTGTTTTAACGCAAACCAAAGATGCCTTTTAAAAAACAAGTTTACATCATATTCTTATGCATGCCAGTGCTGTGTGTGAGGTAATTTAAGGTGGTTCTGACAAGTGTCGTCGGCATCTTCATATCTGGTCACATGGGCGGCAAGCCACTCCCACAAAGGAGGCCACACTCACAGAGTAGGTTCGAACAATTTTTGAAACCCACCACTGGCCTGGGGTTACATGAGGGGACAAGGAACAGTTAGAGAGGGAGCATAAGGTTACAAGAACACTTCATGAAGGTGCAGTGTAGATTAGTGAGGTGCACAGAGGTATGAGGACAGGTGCAAGGGTGTGAAGGAGTCACAGTGATGGTCAGGATATGAATGGCTGGTAATGGCATGAGCACAGAAGGATGTACCCTAGTGACTTTGACTTCCTTGCTTCACAATTGACCTTCACAATTGACTTTCTGGGAAGTCAGGAGGGAAGGTTGCAAATGGAGATCATATGGCCGCAGATCACTGCAAATGTGAACTGGTTGCCAAACACCCAGATCATGATCACATGACCATGGGGTGCTATAATGCCTGGATCTCCAAGGGCATCTGTTCAATGCTGTTGTGATTTGCTGAATGGATGAACATAGGTGAAGAGCTACCTATAAAAGATATCTCACATCTGCATACCTGCCAGTTATTGCTGTTACTTTTTTTCCTTTTTTTTGTAAAGGCATTGCTACAGATCTGCAAATCCAAAAACTGTTTTCCTAGTGTATGCAAATCTAAAGACTACTGGTGTGATGTTGTAAGCTATTATCCACATTAGTTTACAAGGAGTATTTTGAGTATGGATTGTTTGCTGAGCCTTAGTAAGGCATCTACATTTTGTAAATGTTTTTTTTTTACCTTGCTGATGTTGAATTTTCAAGAAACAAATACTGTGGTGCCTTGGGATGTATTTGTGTATGTGCATGCTGCTCTATGCATAATCTTATTGCTTTAATCTTAATATTTATGCTGTTATATTCCACCAAACCTTTTTTCGCAGCTTTGGAGGAGAACCCATCCTGTCTGTCTGTCTATCCATCTATCTGTCTATCCGTCTATCCGTCTATCTATCTATCCATTTATCCATCTACCTGTCTATCCATCTATCCATCTATCTGTCTATCCATCTATCCATCTATCCATCTATCCATCTATCCATCTATCCATCATCTATCCATCTATCCATCTATCCATCAGTATCAGTGAAGTGCTTAATTTGAAATATCTCCAAAAAAGCCACAATGAATTGAGTTTTCCCTTCTTCACTTTTACTAAAATCGTAATGAAGTCAAACAAAAAGCAAATAAAAGGATATCATAAAGCTGTTTAAAGACTTAATAAAATAGAAATGAGTCTGCTGCACCACAGATATCCAATTAATATTAACTGCTGGATCAGGACATTTTGATACACGTTTTGAGTTTT